TTCTGCAGGTAGTCCCGCTCGCTGCGCCAGTTCCGCTCCAGAGCATCGGCGTACATCTCTCTGTGCGGCGTGAGAATGGTTTCCCCCGCTCCCTCTGCCCACAAGCACAGGTTTTTCCGCTCTTCTTTGGCGATATGCCTGCGTTGTCTCGCCTTGGACGCCGTCATCTGTGTCGCAATGTCAATATTCCCATCGGCCATTCATCTAAACCCGTACTCGACTCACTCTGTTTTCGGGGCTTTTCTATTGGCTGGCTTTCCTGGCTTGCGTCGTCTCGAGTTTCGATTAGGTGGTGGTAACGGAGAGAAATTGTTGATAAGATGATGGTATTTTGCCTCGTTTGAGGCCCCGGCCCCCACCGGTTGCCTTCGCACCAGCACACCTCCGCCCGGCCGGGCCACATGTCTCTACCATCAGCGGAGTTCCAACCTACCTCCCTTAAAAACCTCAGTTTCACGCCAAACAACCTCCTACACCCCCATCTTTCCCGCTGTTTTTTCTCCTCCCAACATGACCGACAACAACACAAACGCCGGCGCCGCCTGTACGTTTCTCGCTCTACCTCTCTACCCTTAACCTCACTCGTCCCGTCATACCCAGTTCACGCTGCCCTGCAGGATCTACTGACCGCGATCGCGAGCGCCTCGGCCCTCAGCGCTTCTGCCCTCGATAGTAGTGTCCGCGATCGTTAGTTGTCATATCTTCCTTTCTAATATGCGACTTACCTTTCTACCCAGTACACCAAACCCTCGTGAACTTGAGCGCCGCCAACACCGCCATCACCAAAGCCGCCAGCCGCCTTTACAACGTCCCGTTGGCCGCACCCGAATCAGGTAAGCCTCTCGCTCTTTCCTTTCCCAATCCACATGCTCATCGGAACCGCTTTCTAGCTGCTCAGGTCAACGCTCCCGCCGCGGCGCCAAAACCCCACCATCCGGCCGTCCCCACGTCTTTCAGCCCCACGGGCCTCCCTCACATGGATGGCCCATGGATCGCTGGGAATCTTTACGGTGTCGTCCCGACGATGCCTCTCCAGGCGGTCCCCGACAACCAGGACAAGTGGTTTGCCATAACGCGCGGCAAGTATGTTGGGCTTACCAAAAATTCTGCCATCTCTATCAACGCTGTCACCGGTTTTGCGGGTGCATTGTCGGAGAAGTTCGGGTCGCAGAGCGAAGCTCTCAAGCACTTCAATGGCGCCCTCGTTTGCGGCGCGGTCGCAATCAATCCGTCCTGATCTGACGTGCGATTAAATCGCCGCGACCGCCGGTGCGACTTTTCCCCTAGAGCTATTTCTGCCGCGTAGTTTATCGTTTGTAATGAATTTTTTGTGCCGTCTCGACTGCCAGATTCAGATTCCCAGATCATCATTCCTGACGGGGTTGCAGTGATCTGCGTCCGTTTTGGGCCTACTTCTTTTCTTACCCCTTCAGCGCTGTTTCATCAGCTTCCTTTGATCTCTCATCCCCATCCTCATCCATTCCCATCCTCATTCGAAATGGGATTTCAGGGTCTCGCGCCTTGCACCTCGACCAGTGCCGACCATGGTCGACCCCGACCCCACCGAACTCGACGAGATCCTCCGCCTCATTGGAGAGCTGAATGTCGGCAATGGCAATGACTCTGCCCCGCGCACCGCACCCCGCCTCCCGCCTCCCCCATCGCCTGCTCAGCGCTCAGCGGCATCGGCACCCGTCGCTCACCGATCTCCACCCGTATATCGGGCCAGAGCACCTTCCCCTCCCCCTTTTCAGCCCTTGCCCGCTTTAGGAACACCAGAACGCGCTCCTCGCCTTTACCATGTTACAACGCCCACCCAAGGTTCCCTTTACACTGAGAATTGGTCAGTGGTCGTCCCAACCACGACACTCCCTTTGCTGACTCGCAATAATACAGGGAGCACGCGGCTCACCAAATCCGAGAAGGCGGCACGGCTCGCAGACTCACCCCCAACACGAAGAAGCGCAGGCACAAGGGAGGCTATGCTGTGTTCATTGGCAGAGACGTTGGTCCCTTTCGCACTTGGTGAGCTGCCCCACCAGCATGCGTCGTGCCGCGCTTAAGCTCGCAGGCCGGAGGTCGAAGCTATGGTCCGCGGAGTAAGCTGCTCCATTCAGCAAGGATATTCGACTTTCGAAGGCGCCACCGCTGCATTCGAGTACGCGCGGCTGCGGGGCTGGACCCGCCGTGTCCCAGACGACTCTTTCATAGTCCCTTCTGCCGTGCTGCTGCCTGCGATCCCGTGGCTCCCTCAGCCACCTGCATTCTCTGACGCCCCCAACCCTCTGCACGGCGAGCACAACGGTCTCTGGTACATCGTGTACTGCGGCATTACACCTGGCGTCTATCCCTCCAGGTATTCTTCGGTTATCTATTCGTGACATTCCTTCTGATCGTCTCTCTTCCAGTGTTGAATGCCACCTCAATACCGTCGGTATCACGAACTCTGTTTTCGACTCGTGCGACACAAAAGAGGTTGCGATCCTGCGGTACCAAACTGCCTTGGCCGACGGGCGAATCAAGGTCCTCACGCCCATCTATCACTCATAACGTAGTGTACTCGTAGTAGTGAAATATAGAATACATGTGACCGGTATTGTGAACGAAAGTTCGAGTCCCCGCCCAAGTCCATCCTCAGACAAAAGCCAAGATAAGATCTCGGCCGAACGAACTATGTGGGGAGTGTGCACACTCCCCGTCACTCGCCACACAAATCGCAATCATAATTTCTCACTTCGAGACGTGGAAATAATCGGCGGCCCAATTCTTGGAGGCCAAAATGTCTGTATTGGCATTGTACATCTTCACTCACGTTAAATAGACCTTGCATCGAATGCCATGATTTTCTATGAATTAATGAGTACAATGATGGGCCGTCACTCTCTACAAATTTGGCACAAGACTGCGATTCCTTGTTTAGGTGTGTACTTTTACCTGCCTGCTCGTCTCTTTCGTGTCCCTTTTCCTTCAACATCTTCCACAACTCCTCATTTTGCAATATTCTATTACTTGTGACTCTGCTGGCCGTCCTGGAACTCTCGGTTTCCCTGGGAAGTACGCAACACCTCGGTTTATTGCAAAATAGTCAAAATCATCGATTTGCCTGAAGCACAATCATTGCCCCTTCTGAGATCCTTGCAATCCTTGAGTCCCACTCTCTCTGCTGACTCTCAGCCTTCCTCAATTTCTCTCCGCCCCAACTTTGTCCAGGGGGCGCTGAATTCCTCCTTGTCTGAACATGCCCAACCAAGCCGAACGTCGCTCGCGCCGAGGCCCATTGCCCCACACCTCAAATCATATCTCATTTGAAACTGGTAAGTGGCACACCAGTACATTATCTTTAAATAATGACTGAGAAATCCTTTCTTCCGCTCTGGACAGTCAGTCATTGGCGTCGCACTCGCGCCTTATCTCCGCATTTCCATGACGCGTTATTCGCGTCCTCACCGGCGAGCACGTGCCAAATTGTTAGTTCGTCGCCCGCTGCCCTCAGAATCGTGATTTCTCCCTCTCAATCTGTCCACCGCCCAGCATCCGCTAGCCGAAGTCTGATTTATGTTTGTTTGCATTAGTGATCAATTGCTTCTTGCTTCGTAGAATGTCTTCTTCTCAGTCCCTCTCTGGCGAGGCTTTTACGGAATACCAGCTCATGTGCATCTTATATGTCTCTTGCTTTCCCCTTCTAAACGATTTCAGGCTTCGCAAGAGAGAAGAACAACGCCAGAAAAACCGGGAGCGCATGCAAAGGTAATCAGTCATCCGTGTCCCCGCTCAAATTGAACCGCTTGCAGGTACCGTGAGCGACTGAAGACGGCCCCGGCCGAGGAACAAGAGGCGCGCAGACAACGCGCTCGAGAGGCGCGCGCGCGGTACCGAGCCAAGTAGGTGTCCTTAAACATCGTCCGCCCACGAGCGCCAACATTCCCTCAGAAATCGCATTCAGCTTATGGTCATGACGCGCGCGAGGCGCATCCAGTGCGTGCATCGCTTTGGCAGCGAGACAGAACACCATACTTATCTCGCACAGAGACTTCGGCTCCAAATATGGCCTGGTCGCCTTCGAGCGCAAGATGGAGGACAAGATCCAGCGCAGGCAGGAGACGCGGCGCCGCAAGGGCAGGCACTCCACACCGCCGACCACGGTAACCTGGAAGAGGCGCCAACACCACTCTGAATCCTCGGGCGAGGACATTACCCCTAGCAAGAAGCGGCCGCGCACCCACGTACCCACCAAACGACGGCGTCGGCGGGATCCCAAGTCAGCACTGTCTTCGTCTGATGACGAAGCACACCACGCCCCTACGCCGTCCGTGCCTAAGAAGGCTCGTCCCAGCAAGCCTACCAGGGTCGCGGCTCCCGACTCCTCCGATGAAGACGAACCCACCCGCCTGGGTACTGCCGCGCCCACAAGTACCAGTATTCACCGCGGCGCGGCTTCCGCGCGAACGCAGGAGTCCTCTTGGGGCAACGGCGCCCGTCGAGGCAAACCACTGCTTGGCCGCGTTCGCAGGGCGCCGGGATCGCCCTCGCCTCGCGGGAGCCGGGGTGACTCGACCGACTCGACCGACTCGGACTCCAAATATTCAGAGTCTGAATCCGAGTCGGCGATTCCGTTTGGCTTGAACCACTATTAGACGCTTTGCCTCTGTTGTCGTTCCCTGCTGTCACTGTGTCTGTCGGTTTTTATTTGATTTGCCTCCATAAGTACTTAGCATTGTATATAGCAGAATAAAATAAACAGGTTTTGGAAGACTTTCTATATGTCTTTACACTTTGGACTTCTGCTACACCCTCGTGGATCAACGGGAGATCCTCTGCGAACGATGTCGAACCATCAATGTTCAGCAGGACATTGTGGGTTCGACTCCCACCGAGGGCATACCCTCATCCCAAGTTCCTTTTTTCAGGGGGGGGTTACTTACGGATATCTCAGTCACAAATTTTCCTGGCGTCATAAGACGATAGGGCCTACACATTAGATCCCGAATAAATGAATAAAAAGACCTGGCCCCGAATCGAACGGGATCACCTCGGGAAATACCTAGCAGAGACGTTACTACTACAAGGGGTGTACCACTACACTACCAGGTCCATACTGCCATGTGCCCACCATAGATTAGGTAGGTTTTTTTTTGCTCTCCTTGGTCCTCTAAATAGGAAGCGACGTAGTAAAGCATATTGATTTTGTGATCTACGGTGCGACAAGCAGGTAACTAACTACCTAGGGTGATGAAGGGACGATGCGTGGTTCGGGGAAAATGAGGCCGTCCCACGAGTATGTCACGAAGCTACGGTCCATGCGTTCCGGGTGCGCCCGCGCTATGGCGTCCTCGGAGGGGTAGTCAATTACCGGCCGCTCCTGGATTTCCGCGGGGCAATCTGGACACTTCCAGCTATTTTCGAGCGCTTTGCGAGCGCAGACATAGCAGTGACCGTGCCCACATTGATACCTAAGGGCAGAAAGAACGTGCGTCAGTAGAGTCCAGGGTCGTCCTCAGAACACGTACATGACGGGGTGAGATTTAATGCCCTTGCAAAGAGTGCATTCGAGGTGCCGGTGGACGGTGGTCAAGAATTGCGGCCGACGCGCACCTAAATACAGCTCGTGGTCCGTGAGCGGTACTTGGCGTGGGAGACAATACCCCATGCGCACAGCGGCTCGAGCGGCGGCATTGGCGAGAGGTCCAAAGCGGATACGGGTGGCCCCCGGCGCGGTGGAGTTGGTGAGACGGCGGGAAGGCACGCGATATCCCTCCATCCGATAGGCGGCGTGGGCCTCAGCCAAGGCCAACGCATTGGAAAACTCGGCGTCGCTGAGCGTCACGAGCTTGCCATTGACCAACTGGGTGCGTTGAATGATGGTGGATGGAGGGCCGAAGAAACTTTGGCGACGTCTGGGTTTGGGTTTGGTCTGGCCGTGGACGACCGTAGCAGTTGGGGCGTAAGTGTTGCTCCGACGACGTTCGCGTGCCGCCGCGAGGGGAAGCAAAGGGTCGATATTCTCCTTGCCTGTTCGGACAGAGCCACTGCAACGAGGAAGGTCAGGCGCGAGGAGTTCTAGGTAAAATAAGACTTTGCTCAATACAACACCCTCCCATTAATAGATATACACTCACCATTCAGCGATCGCACGACCAGACCGTCGTTATTAACGAGAAAAGGGTTATCGGCGTTGCCCACCAGTGGTGGCCGGCGATTGGGGCGCACCTGTAGCTGTAGGTTTTTGCCTAATGACCTGGACACAGCCAGCAAACCCGTTGTCTAAAGACATGGAGTTTACCAGCCCCTGGCTAGCTTTTTTTGCCTGCCAAATTTACTTAAAATAAGAAAGTGGCCGAAGCAGGGATTGAACCAAAAGCCTTAGGGTTACATAAGCATTGACAGCCTAAGTAACATTCTAACCAACTGAGCTAAGAGGGAGTGAAGGAGCATGAAATTCATAGGGCCATATCATAGCTCTGATAATTCACAATAGAGATGTTTCATACCTTCTGGCCCCACCTTAGGGGCCTGGTTAGTGTTAGTAGGTTAGTGTTAGAGGTTAGAGGTTAGAGGTTAGAGGTTAGTGTTAGTAGGTTAGGGTTAGAGGTTAGCCCCTAGGTATATTAAATTTTGTTGTTAGAGTAAGGGGTTTGGTGGTTAGGTTTGGTTAGGGTTAGGGTTAGAAACACAACAAAAATACATAATAAGCTTTAAACATACAATTTCGAAGATCTAGAGCAGCTTGCCTGCTCTAGATCTGGGTATAAGCAGCCCTGGGTAGGGTAAGGGTACCTTACCCTAGCCAGGGCCAACAAGTGGTTTAGAACAGTTGTTTAGTGCAGTAGTTAAAGGGTTTCTTCCTGATGTGTATTTTGTAATCATGCTATTTAAGGTGGTCTGGGTTCAATCCAGGCAGCTGCAATCCATTTTGTCAGCTATTACTGAAATCATCACTGAATGCTATTTTCTGGCTGTAGCCAGGCCCTAGCTAGGTCCAGGTGTTTTACCTAATGTTCTATGGCTACATCCAGGGCTTTTAGCCTATATCTTACTGCTAGGGCTCTGGGGCGACGCTGCATGGGATCACGGCGTCGGTATGTAGATCTATGTAAGATTTGTCGAGCGTTGGCGAGTACAATTGAGACGTGAGGGAATGAGGCAACAAAGTCACCCACCAATTTATAGGATTTGGCGCAGCCTCCCATCAGTGTCGGAGATCGGGGCAATCTTGAGACATATATGTAGTATTGCAACGTGAAGTAGGCAAGAAAGAATTTCAATTTGGTCGTGTTATTTTCCAGCCCTATTGGCGGTACGAGCACGTGTTTTCTACCCTAGACTCCGAACGACGCGAACTCTAATATTGAATCCTCCAAGTCCTGCCCCTCGGCTGCGTCCCACTCGGTCACGGTAGGCAATAACCCGATCGCCTCCCGCGCGCGCACCAAGCGGTCCGCCTTCTGGGCTGCGCGCGATGGAAACTCTGGTTCAGGGTGAGGTGTATACCTCTTCTCGCGCCCGTCGGCAACGTATCCGTGCAAGCGCGCCCCGCAAGCTTGCGTTATGATCATCTGGTACCCTGGCTTTTCGACTGCGCAAAATGAATAACGAGTCAGGGCCCCGAGGAAGAAGAAGGAAGACCCAGGCGGGAAATCCACAACCGTACGGTCGTTCCAGAGTATCAGGTCGCCCTCCGTGTAAGGATACGCGCCGACTGCAGTGAGGCCGCGGATACTGGATGGGTGGTCGTCCTCGTCGCGGCGGCCCATGGAGTCTGGCAGGTCAAAGCGATATTCGACCTCGGAGAATGCCGTCGGCTGGTATGGTCCCTGGTTCCCTAGCTGGAACGGGACGTGGAGGTCCCAGTCGCTCTGAACTACAGCATCGATGATTGATCTAGTGTCGCTCCAGGCTCGGGGAGCTATGCCCTGGAGAACGGCTGCAGTATATGGTGACTTTGTATTCTTTTGCGGAGGGAGCGAGCGTACTGACCGTTTTGAAATGACGTTATATCCTGGACCGCGCGCGAGTTTCTTAAAGACGCTAGCGCTGCAATATTGTGCATGGTATAACAGTGGTCGATTCTCCGGGGACGCTGAAGTGCACGGTCAGTAGCTTTACCGCGCCGAACTAATTGGGACTTACTTTAGCTGTTGGGTCATGGGTGATGCCACCCCGAAGATAGTTGTGCGTGTCGAGGTTGGCGTGGTTGATGCTCGCCCTGGCCATCCGCATCACCACATTGGCCTTTCGGACAGAGCTTTCCCAGCGCTGCCGCTGGTGCGGTGGACCGACGAAAACAGCTCCAATGCGCTCCTCCAAGTCCGTGAAGACGCGGGGCCTGTTATGTCAATCCGGTAAGCAATGAGTTATGCAGCAGATGTGTATCGTGGCTAACTCTTCCCATCTCACGCGTCTGAAGCCCAGCTTCTCCACTAAGAAATCCGCAGTGATGGTCTCGGGGATAGGAGTGATGTCGGCCAAAGCGGGGCGAGGGCGGGGGCGCAGATTGTAGACGCGCGGTTTGCGCACGTAGCCCCCGCCCGGAAGTGTATATTCGCTGTCAGACTCTGACGAGGACGATTCAGATAGAGGCTCAGTGGTCCGCCCTTCGAAATTGCGGCCCTCGCGCTCGAGTTTTTCCAACTCGCCGGCAAGAATATTGCGGCGCTGGCGGTCGATGAACGCGTATTGGCTGGCGAGCCTGTCGACAAAAGACATTTGCAGGGGAATTACTTGGGTACGCGGGGAGATGGTGTAGGAGGACCAGAGCGGTACAGTCGGGGCGCGCTCCATGGGTTGAATTGTCCTCAATGGTGAGCGCGTTATCTAGTTTTAATGATCTTTCTTTCTGTTTTACTTGAAAATAATAGTTATTGTTTGCGCCCTGACCCTTCGTCGGAGATGTCGGTAAATAAGATTTGTGCGGGGTCTCGTAACCCAGAAAAGATTGTCCAGGTTCGTAGGCCCGTGTTTCCGATCTCCAAGCTATAAAAGATAGCGTGCGGTATTCTCTGTATTGACGCCCGCCCTTTTCTTTGCCGCACTTACTCACAAGTAACCTTTGCTGAAAGGCTCGCCGGAACCACATCATGCAAATCAATACCTGTGCGTTTGGTTTTGGCGCGGGACGGGAATTATCAGTTTTGATTATGAACTAGGTCGCGCTGTTGTGCGGTACATGCCGGTCTGGAAGCCCGAGTGGTACGACGAAGTTCCCCCGTTAGTCTCACGCGAGGAGCAATTGATGTAAGTGTGTCGCTTGCTCATCGGCTGCATGTATTTCTAAATGTATCTAGGAAGGAGCGGACTGGGAATCTTCTTCACCCGCATTATGGAACGCTGATCACCTGGGTCCCAGGCCAGTGTGTGGGCGAGAGTGTGGAAATTTTCTGGCCGGTTCAGCACATATCGGGAAGGGCCATTGAAGCGTACAACTTCCGGGGACTCGCCAAAACACCCTCCCCCTTCGACCTCCAGCGCGGCGAGCGGTCCGAGCGCGCGGATCTAATTTGGACGGCAGCTTGCACGAGCGCGAGGATGCCTTGGTTTGCAACGACTTACTCCGTCGTGTGTCGCCGTTGCAACTGCCTCAAGGTACGGTCTCCTTCTTTGCCGAATCGGGATTGTAACCAGAAGCACACAACAGCCGAAATTGTGATACCAATGTGCGAAGGGTTGCTTGTCGGGCAGAAATTCGGACGTAGAAATATATGTGGTTAGATGAAAGGGAATAAATCCGTTCTGATTTCAAGTATTACTCGAAATTCGATGTGGACATGTGGCCCCGACGAAAGGGTATAAACATGCGGTCTCATCCCAACCAGGGGCAGGGAAAAAAAAAAAGATGGAGTTTACACACTCCCAGTAGTGCGGAGAGTGCGTATCGATGATCGGTGACGCGGAAAACAGCCGAAATTGTGAAGGGTCGCTTGTCGGGCGGAAATTCAGACCTCCGCCGCGCCTAAATTGCCTCCGAAATTGAAATCGGGGGAATCCGCGGAAGCATAAGCCGAGGCGAGGAGACAAGGAAAAAAAAGGTGGAGTTTGCACACTCCCCGGAGAGTGTGTACGTATCGAAGATCGGTGATGTGGATGACAGCATTGGA